GATATGTATGGAACAAAGAAGATGATAAAAGTCTAATTGTTTTCCACCTTCGCTATTCGATATTCCTATAGGTAGTGTAGAACAGTAGACAGAGAATTAATATGTTGCCAACAGAGTGTACAAGGTACTTCAAATAAACGAAGCCGGTTGTATGTACGTTACGGATAATCCATCATCAGGTAACTACGATTATAAGGGATATCCACTTACTCAAGAGCGAATTAATAATAACCATCGTTCAGTTGTTTTTACTGTTGAATAAGTTTGTGTTTCACGATCCAGTTCACCCGTTCATAAGATTGAGTGCAAGAGAAGACCGCAGACTATTTGGTAACAATGAGAAAGTGAGACCTGAAAGAAATGCTTTCGTCACTGAGGTGCGTAATTCGATGGTACTCGACCACGTTATTTGCAATATCCATTACTTGAATGTTTTGGGTTAAGTGAATGGAACCTTGTGGATTAGCTGAAAAGTCTTCGGTCCGTTGGCTTAATTTTCGCACTCGACTTGATCTGACCTTTGCCCCGTTTACCTGGTAGCCCCAGTTTTACTCCGGAATGAAAAAGGTAACTCAATCGGTTTGAACAGTTCGTCAATAGTTTAACAACATTATCAACATTGGTTGTTTCTATACAGATAGCTGAAGCTGAATAAGTTTTCAACGATGCAAGTAAAATGAGTCTGTTTTTCAGAATGGTATAAACGCCAGCTTATCTTTTCAGTTGTTGAGTCTTCTATAAGCAGAAATCACATTAACACAAGTTTATTATTGACACTGCTGATGCTGTCTTTGAATAGATAACGTACATCTCACAACGTATCCTTTGATCACTGGTTTTGACAAAATTCTGTTTGTATACTTAAGAAATATGAACGTTGAAATTAGCATACTGACCAGTACGTTTTTCACTACAAAACCTAACTCGCCGTAAGGATCCATTGCGGCTTCAATACTTTTTCATGTCAAAGAGTAAAAATGACCGCTTTCTCAACAGACCCGATGCATATGCCTTAATTTGGTAACGCACGCTTACTAATCTTTTTTCAGAACAGTAAATAACGGTTGTTTCAATTTCGATTTCGATTAACTACACATCTTGAAACAACTTTCATTCTAGAGCATTTAAGCCAGTCATCAGCGAAGGAAGCCATCAGACATTAGTTTTAGTCTTACTGAAACCCGTCGACAGTGCTTATCCTTATCATTGCTTGCATGTGAATTCAGGTCACACATTCACGAGATTATCATCTTGACCACTTAGGAATGCATAATGTATTAGACACGACCGAGTTATCTTATTTTGAAGCTCAAACATTCCAGCTTCAGGTTGCTCGATCATTTTAATAAAAAGCATTTGCTACCTTTCAACTTCGAACGATAATCTCGTGATCAAGGCCTCTTACTTAGGTTGTAATCTCCAATTTTAACTTGCCTGATAGGTAATATGTTAGATGACCGACGACTGGTACCTAAATTAAGATCAGTAACACGGTGGACTATACGAACATCATATTAAACCTGAATTAATCGCAAACCCCAGTCATGATAAGGAGAGACATCACTGATGAGCTTGATCTAATTACAGCAAACCTCCACTTTAGTGTTTCCTTTGTAAAGAAATTGGCTAGAAAGTCCATCTGGATGATAAGGCCTCAACTAAGTGTAGGTGGTGCGCAGTTTGTAATTTACCAAATCCCCGACTACTCATCAGCAAGCTTAAATTTTCGTTAATCTGATGATCCACACATTATCCTTTATTGGTATTTAATAACTTTCACCATCTTCAAAAATAGATGTGACTTGAATGCAAATCGGTTTGATGAATATTTTTGAGCGTCCTCGGAAATCGAATGTTTTTTGTTCAAACTACTTTGACAGATGTGGAAACCGATTTTTGTCTAATGAAATATTTTTCTGAAAATATCGAGTTTGGGGATATTGTTGGTAAACCTAGGTTCGTTGGGCTTAGTATCTCAGCAGAAGAATACTCAGTAAAGCAAATGTTTAAGCAGCCCATCATCTCATTAATACTGAACTGATGAAACACACGAAACTGGCTTGACTATGAAGCTTGTTGTATAAACAGATGCATAATGAAATTGCTATTGACGTGTAAGTGTTTGGGCAGTATTTCGTGAAGTTTCTTCCATTATGGCTTATATAGACTCACCAAGAATAGTCGGGGAACATCTTAAAAGTGGTTCTTTTTGATTATCAAAATCTGTCCCGTGAACGCTTGAGGTTCCCTACATAAATTCTCTATGCAAACGGGGCCGAGCTTACAAACTTAATAACCAGACTGACAAGCTTCAACAGTAGTTCTTTTTTGAACCCATACGGGAAAGTTAGCAGAGGACAACTTGTGTCCACCATTATTAACATGTTGTGTGCTGGTATATACTTGTAATGAAAAAAATCTACCATTTAAGACAGTTAACAGAAAACAGTCTTAGACAGTTGAATAACACTCAAGTGGTCTTGTTCTTATCAACTCTGATAGGATCATGGCAAGATGACAGCATTTCTGTATCAAGCATTACGCTTTCACATTAGTATGTTGCACAGCTGTGCAAATCAACAGAATAACGGTAGCAGTGCTATGGTTATGGAGTTAGTAGTAAGAGTTTAATTCAATCTTCAGTTTGGGGAGTGAGTTTGTCGTTAGTTTGATCATTTCACCTCTCAGTCTGCTAACTATGTTAATCACAAGTCCATAGTCACCCATGAAACTATACCTGGCTAAGATCATCACGGTGTGAAAAATCACGTTTATGTAAGGTATAGATTTCCTTGCCAAAAAATGAGACGAAAAAACTGAAAACACACTTTGTTGTGCAGCCTGTTTAATCAAGCTATGGATCGATGTCATGTTTGCAAATCTCCGTGGTTTAGATAATTAACGGTTGATGGACTAAATGTAGTTTTTTCTATTAGAGGCGTTGTGTTTTGATTATCTAGTGCGGTTTCTGATATGTGCTCAGTCATTTCTTCTGAATGCATTATTGTCTCTACTGAAACATCTGTGACATTTTAAGATGCGTTTCTCGCATATAAATACGGTGCTTCTTCAAAAGAATACGCTTATGGAAAATCACAAGGCGATCACGGTATTGGGGTTACATGGGATGAAAAGTAGCAGCTCACCTATCAATAACACCTCAGTCATAAAGTGACCTCTACAAATGCTTGTTCACTTCTGCTAACCCATCCTGAACAGCACTGAGGGTCTCAGATAATAACGGTCACGTTAATAATGGCACAGCCACTGCATCATTCGTGCAATATTTGGAAGAAATATTCTAAATTGTTTAGACTATCTGTGTCCACACTGTGGCTGCATCGTTACTCACTATTCCTATACTCATTGGTCCATATCAATTAGTTCCCGTATATTTTTAATCCGCCTCGTATTTCCGATCTATTAAGTCATGAGTTTCACTCAGAGAATCGTTGGACAAAGCGAACGCAATGATGCCAGATATAGAAACAGAGTAGAGTGACGTTATGAGTTATAGCATCATCTTCGGTGTCATGGGACTTGGGTAAACGGGAACGAAATACGACTGTCTTGTTGTAGTTAGGAAGTAAGATCGCTTTGCAGTAAGAATGCAAAATAAAGACTGTTCTTCCTGTAAAACATCTCATTCCTGGGCGGGATTTTTTGTGTGTTAGTACACTGTAGAATATCTTGTTCTTCGTTGAATCCACCTGACAGCTGTTGCCACAGCTTCATTGAAAATAAGCATTCCGTCGCAAATTGTTGTCTTTCAGCCTATCCATTTTATTAACTCACATTAAATCACATTTCTATGTGATTTTGATTAAAACACTCCTGAGGAAGGCTATCCGAGATGATTGAAACTTTGAGTATTGTAACTTGCTCGTAACGTTGTGTCCTCCTCATTCCTTCTATTAAAAACAGTTCAGACACGAAGCGCACATGGTTTGACTTCATTCTTGCTGCACTTGGTGCGCATATGTTGCATAGTTATTTTTAGTTATTTGTCACCTGTTTCATTTGTAATTCGTAAAAGCGAAATTAGCAAAGATTTTTGGAGACATCGGCTACAAACAGCACTTGAGAAGTACAATAGACAAAATTCTGAAGGCGCTCTATGACAGATGTATGTCATTTCAAAACCGAACTTACGATACTAGCGTTATATGATAGGGATCAGTATGTTAATTGTATGTGAATCGCAGGTGGATCGTTACAGCTGCTAACATTTTTCTTGAGAAAACATAGACAAGCCTTATGTCAGAACAATCCCCAACATGTGTATTCGGCTCACGCATTCTAATAAGCCTCACCGAGGATTCTGACATTAAACCAGCAAGTTAATTTCCAAACCACGCAAAAGCAAGTCATTTGAAGAAGTGAGTCATAATGACGATGATACGCGTGTGGTGAATGTTTTAAAACACACGCTGTGTAGGAAAAACTAATGCGGGATTAAGTTGTAATTTAGGAAACGAGCTGATCGAAAGTTTCATTAAATTTTTCATCCGTGAATCAATCACATTGGCTGTTTTTAACCCTTAATCATTGGCCATACTAAGAATGTGTATGCTTTTCATCCAGAGTAGGATCAGTTCTTAAGGAATACGTATATTTAGTGCATTAAGGAATGCTCACGTCTGAAACGGTGATTGCTTTCTCCACTGCACTGTCCAATGTCAGCACCTACGTATCAGTTCCCGTCCTATGCGGAATGTGGTTAGAGGGTAGTCGAAACGAGATGCAGACTGATAAATTTTGCTTGTTCACCAGATTATCTGTTCCATCTACTGATGATTATCTTCTCCTCCCCCAATGCTTCCAAGCAAAAGCAGTAGTACAATATCAATCCTCATCGGTGGCGTTCGTAGATCCCAGCGCGAACCGATCGATAAATTCTGCCTGGGTATTCAGTCTGGTGGATCATTTAGTGGGTTCCATGATACAGTTGGTTTGGTGGATAACCCGGTCCAAATGTGACATTTCCGAGCTTCCGGCGTGGCTTCGTAGCTCAGTTGATAGAGTATTTGCCGCGTATAGGCATGCTCATAATGTCGCTGGTTCGATTTCAGCCGAAGTCCAGATTTTCCGCAAACGGGTCTCTTCTAAAAACAGAATTGTTAAAGTATGGCGTTAAGTAGTGACCCAGTATAAAATAAACTGTTTAAAAGTTTTACTTTGGGTGTTCCGGTCTTTCCCAAAGAAATCCGATAACCTGAGTTTGCCTCGGGACAAACAAGATATTGTCTCTAACCTAAGTCTTCAGATGATTTTATGTTTATTGTTCCCCTGCATGGAAGTTTATTTTTTACAGTATACGTGCAGATGAAATCGATGAGAGTATGTTTCCCTTAAATAAGCCGTCGTCACCATCCTATATATAACGCTGTTTTTAATCTAGACAACCACGGGATCGCGAAGGTCTCATTCATAAATAGGCAATCGTAACATAACTTGCAACAGCGCATTTTTCACTTTTATGCCTAAACTGTCTGAAATAGATTAAAACTTTTATCTGGCAACAGGTCGAGGAAGAAGAAGACCGTTTCGAGCCTAACTGTGCAATATGAGAAAGACAAAATCCGTTTTACCTGCCCCGTGATTATGACAACGATGAAAGTATGTGCAGCCGTGTGAAAGGAACCCAAAAAGGAAATTTTACACACAACTTTAAGCGTTTGGTGTCTCGTTTCATTGAGTCAAACTGAGGAGGAAGCTAATAATACAAAATTTGAATACCTCTTTCATTCTCGTCGATCGTCCTCATAGAGTGATCAACTAGTAGCGTCTGGCAACAGACCGGTGGCGAAGTTCGCGAATGGGTTTGTCCTTATGGCAAAGGTTTGCAGGGGAACAGAGTATACGTCCAGTTGTACCAATTTCGATTTTGAATACAGGGGCTCGGGTAGAGCCTTTGGTATAATATTATTTTCATGCACGTCATTACCCTTGAACTTTTCTTACCTAACAATACGGTAAACGAATTAATGTGGTCGACCGAGACAGCCGTTCCCAAGAAGGTCATTACATTGTGAAGCAAACCATAAAGGTTGTTTCTCAGCCTGCTTTCCAAAGCTGATCTTGTGGAAAGCGATTTGTGTTACGTCTTGCAGGTTGTCCTGGGACACCCATTTGCAGTTGAATTTCACACACTTCTGCATTTAGAAGGCGCCTTCCTATGGTCTTGATCATGGTTTGATGAATCATTTTATTTCCCTCTGGCTTTGTGTTAGGACTAGGGTACATAATAGCAGAACAGAATGGAGTCTAAGAGAGCGGACTGCTGAACAACCCCACCCCCAAGTTGGCTTTGAACACGATAGTGCGACGACCGTTGGTAACACAACATTTTGTAGAAAGTCCAACGAGTTCAGTTACGGAGCATATCCCAAAGACACTTCAATTGTTTCATCAAATTGTTTTGTTCAGTGTGTTGTCATTAAAGTTCACGAAGACGATGATGATCAGAGGGTACCATTCAATACGTTTTGCTCAGAAAAGGTGACCGCAACCTGGTGTTTTCCTTACCACACTTCTATTGAAGAACAGTTGTACGTGGAATGTGTTGTTGATTTGCTGCTACTGATTGATTGTCCCAGGTATGTGACCAACGAGAATGAAGTAATTGCGAACATCTGGCACTAGTTTTCTTCATGCAACTATGAAATGGCTAGTGAACACATACTCTGTAGTAGGCGAATTGCACGGTATCTCGAGGAATATCACCTATGGTGATCATTAAGTCCGTTACCAAATTCACATTACCCGCAGGCCATACGCACCTATGCAATTATCACTGGCCAGCAGATTTAATACGTGTTGGTGGAGTTGAACGAAAAATGAATCAGGTGTTTTCTGTGTCATAGTTACAACCGAAAACGGCAACTTTATTCACGCTGTAGGCAGTTCGCTTGATTCAAAGTTGGTCTACCGTGAAGAGGGATTCACTGCAATTTCCACTGAAAATTTGTTCAGAAACCACAAACTATGTTGAACGACGATTTTCAGTATGAAAGAGTGACCACTCGGAGGGACTGCTGTACAACAAATTGTGTAGCAAGTAAGGTTGCTGAATACCGGTCACATCTGTGCTGCAATGAATCCTGTTTCTCTGATTTGACAAGAATCGTACTAGCTCATTATATAAATTGTTCATATATATCTGGTTAGTTAAAACTTACCGGTCGATTTGTATAACTCGAATAACCTTCAGAAAACGTGATCAAATGAGTGAATTGGATGGAGACATGAAACAGCAAGGTACGCCCACACGGTTATCAGACTTAAATACCCCATCTAGCTAAACCTAGAACAATAACTTGCCAACAAAGAAAGTAGTTAGTAGTGACGATTACAACGCGTCCTGAAACTCACTGTTAATCCTACGGTTGGTCTAATTGTGTGCAATAAAGGGGTTTTCAGCATAATGAATTAGTACAGACGTAGTAATAATCGAGGTTTAATGGAAAAATAAATTTCGGAAATAGCTCAGATGAACTGTTTAACCCACAATCCACAGGAAATCCGCATATAGCTAACCGCAATCCAAGTACCATGAATTTATGGTATACCAGAAATATGAAAACGTGGAATTCAGTTATTTCGCCTCTGGAAAATGGACACTTAGGCGTATAGCAAATTTGCCGACTGGCTTGGTGAATTTTCAAATCCGATTATCGGTAGCTTCTTACATAAAGCTTCCTTTTGACTGTATCGGTTGACTGCATTGCTAGAAAGCTATTACAGCGATGCTGAATAAATCTTCATCATTAAAATCTGAAATAGGAGTAGTTGTATCTCGCACATGTTTCTTTCTGCCTGAAGATTCTTAGGCCGACTGTTTTTGTTTATTTCGGTTACCACGTTATTTTATTCAAAAAACATTTGATTCAGACCTCAAAACTGCTCGCTAGAAGTCGTCGGTTTTGACCGGTTGATATGACATAAAAAATTATTAAACACATAAACAATTGCATATAATTTTTTTCTACATTTGCGGATGGCATGAGGGTTGATTTTTTAACACGTAATCAATCTAACACTTTATTTTATACTTTTCTTCTGAATACTCAGATTATTCGTGTAAAAGATGACACTGGCAAGGCACAATGGAAGATTCCCGGCTTAAAGACAGTTCTTCCTAGAGAATATGATGGAGATAACCGTAGTATCGAGGAAATCGTCGGTTTGTTCATTTTTAAGGCTCAGATTGATACGATTATATTCGAATACTCACTGCTTTTAAGATTATTTTTAATTAATTGGTGATCACTTTAGTCCATAAAGTTTACTCACGGTCGTAATCATTCAATGTTTATCATCTGCAACAAAGTGCGCATTAAATAGACAACGGGAATTTGTCACGAAGTTCTCAAGCAACATGCAGTCAAATTTATTAGCAAGAAAGATGTATACGTTTATGAATATTATGGCACACATCTGTCTTGTGATGTAGGTTTGCCAAAATCTGGAAGATTTATGTGACATTCGTGTACGTAACAAAGTGATTCGACTTCTATCTGATCTTATTTTCAAACCAGAATATTCCTCGTAAATTATGCTTAACTGAAAGACTGTGTGGGCCCCTTTGTACTCAGTCCTGTGACAAACGCATTGCAGCAGAATAAATGACGTTCTTTCATGAACTCTATTCATTTATACACTTTGAACAGTCAGGTATTTTTTGCCAGTAGATTTATTTTGACGCTTGAGTAGGATGGATTGATAACAATACAACATCTGAGGATATACCGTTACTGAAGCAAACATATCATTAGGCCTATCACCAACTTTTCATTCAAAGTTTAATCCTGAAGATTGACTGCATCTTACGAACAAGAATCCATTCGGCAGATTCCTTGTCGCAAGCAAGACGAGTAATCGTCCAGTTATCTCAATTCCACCTTTAGATAAAGTGCCTGTTGGTACGGTAATCATGCACATTGTGGCTTTGGCTTCTAACATAGAGCTTGCCTGTTCGAATCTCGTCGAGACAAGTCTCACTCGTCGAAGCCGGTTGGTAGCTAAATGGATCAATTAGTGCCGGTGTTCACAGGCGGAACCGTAAAAAATGCAATTCATAAGACTTTTGAACCCCGATTAACATAATCGTTGCAAGCCGGTATTTTGAAGAGAATCGTGCCCACCTAAAAAAATACGATATTTGTAGAGCATGTTATTCACATTATCGATGCTCGTTGAATCTGAGTATTACGCCTTCAGTCCTTCACACTTTTGACTAATTGCATAAATAGGTCTGCGAGATACATTTGGGAAAATTGAAAACTTGTGGTGAAACCTGAAATTCTTCGCAATCGTTTGCAGGTTGTTTTGTTACAGATCATGTGTGTGTAGTCAACTGAAGTCAGTTCAACTCATATCAAAGAAGTGCCCTTCAACAGCCGTTTGTTTTAAGTGTGGTAATACGGAAATTAGCGAAAGTGCGCCCCACAATGCTATAACACCGTCTCATGGATACACACTACACACATCCCCCATTCACATACACACATGAACTTTGGGAAGGTCTACATGCTAAACAGACACGATATCCTAGTGCTCGAAAGATGGCAGAATGTGGGCACCGCCTAAATAGATCAGTGTCTGAGGGGTGGATTGGCATTCGCGATGGTCGTATGTGTTTAGTCCACTCATGCCACAAGATATAAAGTTCAACAGTTTTTGAAAGAACCGTTATGCTGTGCTTCATGCAAGTGCATTTCATCAAATAAGAGACCCTAATCGACTTCAGGCAACAAAATGTTACCTCTGTCCGGTTCCAACAAGTTTACTTGCGTACGTAAACAACACTGTAGATGAATAACTTTCAGTTCTACCTTGGGACATTGAGTGCAAGAGTACGGCCACGAAGCATATATCAGGAGATGTAGGTCTCGTTTATTCTCATCAGCCGATTACATCAAACATGTAATCACATAGCTTTAGAGCATGGCAACGAAGCAACGACCGCTTTGTCCATGGATTTGTATTAAATAAATCGGGGACGCTTCAAGGAATTAATCTCAAAGATCGTTTTCATAAATCAGTACAAAGGACACCAGAAAACCGTTTCCAACTGTAC